TCATTGGCTAAGGTAAATATGCACATTTGGAATACAAAAAGCAGTTGAAATATGGATCTATAAATTATAAAGAAAAAGATTGTGGAAACATGGTCAAATATATGAAAACAAAGGATCAAGAAAGCACTCCCAGTCATAACTCTTTCATTGGAATTCCTATATATTCACAATAAACCATGTAGAAATCTCTGCAATTAAAAGATGACCTTCTGTTGCCTTTTGTATTCTTATTTTTCACATCTTTCCAATGTGTTAGACCTTATAGTCAGTTAATACCTATTGACAGAAATTTTTATTCTAAGATTAACTTTCAAATTTAGAGAAATAAAAAATATTTCTAAAGTATTGAACTATTTACCTCAAGTTAAATTTTAGTAAGCTATTGCAGTTGATCAGCAACAAGATCATTTAACAGTTAGTCAATAGCTATTGACTATGGAGACTGTGCATCATTGCACAAAAAGTCCTAAAAGCATCTTTTCTAATTTCAATAGAGTACATGAAGAACTAGTTCTTAAATGAGTTTCTGTATCTGAGATATTAAAAGAAACTGAAATTTAAGTAATTTTTTTTCTTCGCATGCCATTTCTCCTTTTAAAATAATCTTGCAATTGTTCCTTTTTTCCTCCCACTTTTTTTTCTTTCTTTGTGATTTGTACTTATTCATCTTTCCCATGCTCATTAGTCCCACACAGATGTAGATAGTCCTTCTCCTTGCCTAATTTTCCTTCCCATCCACCCAAACTCATCATTCATTGTTCCAGCACTCTCTCCTTTAGCTTTGTCAGGATTAAAAGGAGCCCAACAATCTGTGTGACTACCATTCTGGTCTCATGGTACTAGAGGACACACACAGAAAATACTTCCCAAGTTCCAGGTCAGATGGCTTTCCCTCCCACGTGGTGCCTAGGCCAGGTGTTGGTGAGGAGGTGGGAATCTGAACTACCAGAAATCATTAAGCTTAGCTGTTGCCTCTGGACCATCTTATCTTCCAAACACCTAAAACAGTTTGAGTCTTGGAAACTTAAGCAGAAAAAAGAAGCTACTTAGGTATCCCCAACCCCTTTGTTTTCAGTTTAAATAAATTGTAATAGTTTTGTGCACGTCCTCAGTTAACGAAATAGAAGTATTGGATAACAGAAAACAAGTGAAAACAGATAGGTCTCTTGGCTCAGTAGTCTGCTCATGTGAACTTTTTATAAGCTTTGTAACAGATATAGCACTTCCTGAACAAAGATTCCATGTATGCTTATTAAACTTTCTGGTTAAGCTTTAGGTGAGTAAAATTCAGATTTTTGAGTGGTTACTCTGTTCTACTAGTCCTCTGGTGAATCGTTTTGCTCTATGAGAGGATGCCGTAATCTTATTTGGGAAGGTTTATTCATTAACAAAAGGTACCAAAATAAATTTACCTAGGGTCACCATGTTTAATTTAATAGTTTTACAATAATTGGTTTCAGATTTGCCTTCCTTCCCAGAGGACAAGATTTTTTTAGTTTCTTGATGCCTATTTAAAGCATGAGAATGACAGGAAAATTAATGTCATGACCTTTATAGCCTGTTTATGGATTTTCCATGTGGTACCCTAAAGGATTTAGGGAGTAGTGTACATCTAAAATAAACCACTTGGTACAGACACATAAAAATTGGGTTAATTGGGTTCACCTGATCCTCAGCTGGTAGCCTCCATCAAGACACTATTGCTTTTTAGACTAAAGGGCACCATTTTTACACTATAAAATTGTCTATTAAGCTATACCTGTACATTCTGTAATGTCTGGGGGGGTGCATTTTTAAAGGACTGGTTTTTCAAATATATAGGGTTTTTCCCCTCCTATTATTTTATCTGGATATCTTTTTCATTGAGGAAATCACTTTTGTCTTTTCATTTTCATAGCCAGAATGGACTGACAGCAACTGATGGACCATGCTTCATAACACCCACTTCCTTTCTGTGATGCTGGGCAGCAGCACTGTCTCTTGCACCTAACTTTTTCTCTTTTCTAGTCTGTCCGGACTTCCCATAAACAATCACCCTTCCTAATCCTTGAGACTGACACTTGGTTTTTATTTTATTGGCAGGGTTTATATATTTCAACAAAGAGCAGTGTTTGTATATTGAGCTAGAGTTGAGAAAAAATATCTAGGCATACTGAAATTTTTAAAGGTCTTAAATAGCTGATTGAAAAATTTCTGTGGCGATTTTTGTAGATAGTGGTTTTGAGGCACTTTCATACATTGTTGAATAAATTAGTACAACTTTTTTCTATCACAATTTGGTAACATCCATAAAAATTTTAATTCAGCCCAGAAATTTCTTACTATGACTTCATCTTACAGATAGACTTGGACATGTTAACAAAGAGGCATGGATAGGAATGCACACTGCAGCTTTGTAAGAGCAAAAGGCTGGGATAAGTCTTATTGTCAGTCTGCAGGTGATTGGTTAATAAATTGTGGTTCCATGCAATAAAATACTATGCAACCTTTAAAAAGAATTAAGAGGATCCATAAGTGCTGATATGAAGAGTGCTTGAAAATATATTAGTGAAAAAAGGAGTAGCATGTATAATCTACTCTAATGTGGGGAGGGGAGGAAGAGGGTTAGAGAATATATCTACATGTTAGTTGGTAAACACACTGATGACTGTTTCTGAAAGGTTACCCACAAAGGTACTAAGAGTTGTTGCCTCTGAGGAGGAGAATCAGGGTTATAGAATGAGAGGTAGGCTTGTATATTTTTATTTAGTTTTTTCCATGTTAGAATCATTTTATGGTAACCTAGGTGTTAGATGAATGCCATCGGGGACATGGAGTTTTAAAAAATATAGGTAATGCTGAAAAGGTAAATCTTTGACTAGAGTGCTCCAGGGAAAAGGTAAAAGTTTGAATTATTTTAAAAGAGGAAGAAAAATTACCAGAATCATTTGTTAAGTGGCAGTTCACATACCCACAGGGACATGGAAAAATATAAAGCATGGATGAAGTTATCAGGAAATAGAGCAGAGAAGTGTTCTTTTTAAATTGAACAGTCATTGTAAAGCTAATTGATGGGATTTTAATTTAATGCAGAAACTTTAGTAACGAAGTAAAAAGCTAGAGATGGGAGCAGAGCTGAAAGAAGTAGACCACACTGACCATGTTGTAAGGAGGTTAGAATGGAAAAGAGGCAGGAGGCAGAGTTTGTTTAAAGTCCACTGGTTGATTTATGGTTATGAAACCAAAACTCTGGGTCTTGGCCACAGGTAAGATTTAAGAGAGAAAAGAAATGTGAGGAATCCAAAATTGTCTTATATCAATTTGCTATAAACCTGCTTAGTTCAAACATGATTTTGTGACAGAATATAGACAGGAGAGGAGCAAGAATGTTAGAAATGTGATCATTTCAAAGTAATGAATTAAATCCAAACTGAAACACTGGCAATCAAACTGAAGGGGAAAAAAATATAATGAAATTTTAAAATCTGTATCTATATCATGGACATGTAAATGACAGCCTCTTTATTTTTATGGTGTTTATTTTACTCCTGAGGGTTATTTATTACCAAGTGGTACAATTCATTTTTGAAATACTTTCATCTTCATCATGATGGTAACCTCAATGGCCTGATTGACTTAAGTCTGTTAGCATTAAAAAGGCAGGTTGGAGCCCTGGCCGGTTTGGCTCAGCGGTTAGAGGGTCTGCCCATGGACCAATGAGTCACGGGTTTCATTCCAGTCATGGTCACGTACCTCAGTTGCGGTTTGTCCCGAGCCCTGGTCAGGGTTCTGCGGGAAGCAACCAGTTGATGTGTCCCTCTCCTGTCGATGTTTCTCTCTCTCTCTCCCTCCCACTCTATCTGAAGATAAATAGAAAAGTATCCTCAGGTGAGGATTAAAAAAAAAATTTAAAAAAAGAAAAAGAAGGCAGGTTGGAAATTCCAAAAATGCTCTATTTGATGTAGAAAGAACCAAATGTTTTTCTGATATGTGTATCTTCTACTTTTGAATAAATAAGAAATGAAAGGATGCCTGTTTGTTAAAACTTGCCTAAAACTTGGATCTTTTTTGACTTAACTGAAACGTGCTGGGGCCTTTTAACAGAAGAGTGGCATTGTCAACAAATTCAACAAATTGGATTTATAGATAATGTTGGGAATCTTTGTTTCCTAGGACTTGCTACCTGTAGGTAGTGACACCTGAAATAATGTTGTGTTTGGAAAACCCCAAGCCAGATTAGAGAGATTGAAGAAACTAGGAACTTTTTTATATTTACATAAGATAATTTTTTTCAGTCGTTTTAGGAGTGGTTCAGTCCTTTTACAAATACAACCAAGCAATCTGTAGAGATCAAAGGAAATTCATTGCTGAAAAAATTAATTTAATCAATGTTTTGTTACTTTAAGTTACGGAATAGTATAGCAATGGCAAAATTAATAAGATGTTGCTTCAGATTTCAAAATTATTTATTAAAAAATGATTCAGAAACTTATCTGTAAAGTGAAAAGAAATGAGAGTCTAAGGCTACTTATTTTCCCTCGATAGATGTTTATCGAGGTCGAAAAATGCCCTCCCAAACATCATAACCTGCCTAGTTCAGCCACACATGCCGCAAATGTTAAGGAATGCAAGTATCTTTATGTGCATGCATTTTATGAGGGTAAATAAATAATCAGATTAGATTTGGTAACAAGTTGTTTGTATTTCTAAGTATATTCTAGTATGTTCCCTTTTTTTTTTTCATGGAAATGCCAGATACTAATAACTATTTATTTTCTTTGGGAATAATTCTAAAGTTTATTAACATATATAATACCATGTTTTTTTAATAGTTTTTCTTTACAAAGTATTTTCAACACATAATATCTAGTTTAATCCTTTCTTCAGCCAAATGGATTAAGATTATCTCTCCCTGATATGAAACAATGGCAGCATCTACAAGGGTATCTATAGTCCTGGGAACAATACTGGCGCTCTACCAAAATCCATTTTCTCTTTCTCTCATGGTCCATGGTATCTAGAAAGATGGCCTTTTCCAGCATTTCTTCTGTGTGGCCATGTGACTCAGTTCTCACCCATGGAATGTGAGAGGAAGAAAGCCTAAGACTGTGAGTATGCCTCTTTCATATGTAATTTTCTTTTCCTGCTAATTGTAACTTTGGTATGGTAGTGTCTCAAGTTACACATTACAGATGACAAGACAGTGCTCTAGGGGATGGTGGAACAACCATTGGAAGGGAACTCTATCCTGGGGTGAATATGAGGAGCAGAGAATTTCTGCTGACCTGAACTCATAATAGCAAGACTGTTACATGAAAGAGAAATAAACATTTTATTTTTCAAACCAAAAAAAAAGATTATCTTTCCCTTTCTTTTCCCTTTATTTTTAATCCTCACCTGAGGATATTTTTCCATTGACTTTTAGAGAGAGTGGAAGGGAGGGAGGGAGAAGGAGAGAGAGAGAGAGAGAGAGAGAGAAACATCAATTTAAGAGAGATACCTTGATTGGTTGCCTCCTGGGGATGGGGATCATACCTGCAACCCAGGTACGTGCCCTTGACTGGGAATTGAACCCACGACCCTTTGGTGTTCTGGCCAGCGTTCTAATCACTGAGCCACAGCAGCCAGGGCTTTCTTTTCTTAAAATATATTTTTATTTTTTAATTATAGTTTATGTATAATATTATATTAGTTTCAAGTGTACAACCCAGTGATTAGACATTTATATAATATATGAATTGATCATCCCAGTTAATCTGATACCCATATGACACTGTACATAATTACTATATTATTGACTATATTCCTATGCTGTACTTTACATCCTCATGACTATTCTGTACCTGCCAATTTGTACTTCTTAGTTCTTTCACCTTCTTCACCCATCCTCTCAAGCCCCCTCCCATCTGGCAATCATAAGAATGTTCTCTGTATCTGTGAGGCTGTTCTGTTCTATTTGTTCATCGATTTTCTTTTGTTTTTTTAGGTTCCACATAAAAATGAAATGATATGTATTTGTGTTTCTCTGACTGACTTATTTCACTCAGCACAATACCCTGTAGGTCCATCTATGTATTTGCAGATGGCAAGATTTCATTCATTTGAAAGGTTGAGTCATATTTCACTGTATATATTCACCACTTCTTTACCCCTTTATCTATGGTTGGACACTTAGGCTTCAATAAACATATGGATGCATATGTCTTTTTGGTCTAGTATTTTGGGTTTCCTTGGACAAATACCCAGAAGTGGGTTCTTCTTGATTATTTATGATAGCCTTTGTTTCAAAATCGATTTTGTCTAGTTATAAGTATAGCTACTCCAGCTTTTTTCTTTTCATTTTCATTTTCATGAAATATATTTTTTCATCCCTTTTCTTTTAGTTTGTATGTGTCTTCCCATCTGAATTGAGTTTCTTGTACACAGCATATATAAGGGTCTTGTTTTCTTACCCATTCAACCTTCCTATATCTTTTGATTGCTGCATTTAATGCATTTGCATATGAAGTAATTGTTGATATATATTTATTGCCATTTTGTTTTTTCATATTTTTTTTATTCTTCTTAAAGAAGACCCTTTAACATTTCTTGTAATACTTGTTTGATGTTGATGAACACCTTTACCTTTTTCTTGTCTGGAAAGTTCTTTATCTGTCTTTGATTCTAAATGATAGTTTTGCTGGGTACAGTAATATTAGATATAAGTCTTTGTTTTTCATCACTTGGAATATTTTGTACCAATCCCTTCTGTCCTGCAAAGTTTCTGTTGAGAAATCAGCTGACAGTTTTATGGGAGCTCCCTTGTAGGTAACTAACTGCTTTTTCCTGCTGCTTTGAAGATTCTCTTCTTGTCTTTAACCTTTGGCATTTTAATTATGATGTGTCTTGGTGTGGGCCTCTTTGGGCTTATTTTGTTTGGGATTCTCTGCTTCCTGGACTTGTATGTCTATTTCTAGGTGAGGGAAGTTCTTCATCATTATTTTTTCAAATAGATTTTCAATTTCTTGTTCTCTTCTTTTTCCGGCAACCCCATGATGTGAATGTTGATACAGTTGAAGTTGTCCCAGAGGCTCCTTCATTATCTTCATTTTTTTTTTTTTTTTTGGATTCTTTTATGTTTTTGCTGTTCTGTTTGAGTATTTTCTGCTTCCTTGTATTCCATATCTCTGATCTGATCATTTGTTTAATCTACTGTTGACTCACTGTAATATATTCTTCATTTCAGTAACTGTATCCTTAATTTCCAACTGGCCCTTTTTTATGTTGTTCCTCAAAAAAATTAAAAATAACACTGCCATTTGATCCAGTGATCCCACTTCTAGGACTATATTCTAAGAATCCTGAAATGCCCATCAGAAAGGATATATGCACTTCTTTGTTCAGAGCAGCATTATTTACAATAGTTATGATCTGGAAACAGCCCAAGTGCCCATCAGTAGATGAGTGTATAAAAAAAGCTGTGGTATAATTACACAATGGAATACTATGCAGCTGTAAACAAATAAAAAAAGAATTTCTTACCCTTTGCCAAGGCATGAATGGACCCAGAAGTTATTATACGAAGTTTACACTAAGTGAATAAGCCATTAAGGGAAATGCATATATCACATCTCACTTATATGTAGAATCTAATCAACAAAATAAACAGATGAACATAATAGGTCCAGAGGTATGGATGCTGGAACAGACTGACAGATCAAAGATAGGAGGTGATTGGGGGGGTGGGGGTGCAAGAAGAGATTAACAAAAGAGTTTACATACATATATGCGTAGCCCATGGTCACAGATAAGAGATTAACAAAAGAGCTTATATACATATATGCATAGCCTGGGGTGGGGCATAACCAGTGGACATAGACAACAATGCTGTGAGGGGAGGTGGGTTTGGGAGGAGGGTATCAATGGCGAGAGAAAGGAGAAACATCTGTAACAAATAAATTAATAAAAAATAGTTAACAATAATATATTGTATACTTGAAAGTTGCTAAGAGAATAAATCTTAAAAGTTATCACAAGAAGAAAAAGATATAACTATGTGTGGTGATAGATATTAACTACACTTAATGTAATTGTTATACAATATATGCAAATATCAAATCATTATAGTGTTCACCTTAAAGTTATATAATATATGTCAATTATCTCAATTTACTTCAATAAAACTTGAAAAAAATTTTTTTTTAAATAGCACAGGTTGAGATAGGAATAAGTATTTATTACAACTGAGCAAATGATGAAAACTACTATTAGTCAGAATTAATGTACTTTAAACTTATATTATTTTAACAAAATTTAACCTTATGTTATTTCGGTCCTCTTATTTATGTAAAGATATTGAGAAACATGAATTCCATCATTGCTTAAAAAGGTAGTTTTTTGTTGTTTTTTGAAATCAATGAAATGTAGTGCAGCCACTTTGGAAAACAAGCAATTGTTTATAAAGTAAAACATATATTTAATACACCAGCCAGTAGTTCTACTCATAGGTTTTCACCAAAGAGATACGACATTTGTCTGCCCAGAGAGTTGGACACAAATATTTATAGCAATTTTATTCATGATAGCCAAAATCTAGCACTAGCTTAAATGCCCATCAGTGGTTGAATGGATAAGCAAAGTGTGTTATATTCATGGGATGGAATTCAATAGAAAGGAATGTTCTACTGATACTCACAATAAAATAACACATTTGATTGGTATGAAATGATATTGTATTCTAGAACAGGCAAAAGTAATTTATAATGATGGAAAGCATCGGTGATTGCCTGGGATCAGGGATGAGGGATGGGGATGGACTGTAAAAGAGGACAAGAGAACTTTTGGAGGTGATGTTACTGTTCTATATTTTATTAAAATATATCCCAGACTTGTTTTAATCAGTTTTGGTAAGATTACAGGGAAACAGCTGTCTTTTAAAGAAGAATCCATTATTTATAGTTCCTGAGAGGAGGGGGCATGGGATAAATTTAGGGTTACATGGGGAAGTTCCAGGGTTAGTTAGGAAGCAAAGGGGCCTGGGGAAAACATGGCCTAGAGCCTTTATTATGGTTTCCCTGGGAAGGATGAGGCAGAGCAAAACAATTTAGGATTGGCTAATTTGAATGATTCCAATGGCTTCAGGCAGAGGATGATCCTAGTTGTTCAGTACCTGGTCCTGGGGTAATAATCTATCCCAGGGGAAATACTGAATTACTGTGTGCGAATTAGACAAAGGAGGTGGCTGGTAATTTGGATTTTGGATTAGTTGGTTTGCATCTGAAAGGAATGCTCACTGATAAGCTTGTTGTTTGCTATCTGTAAGATTAGCTAGCCCTGGCAGGGGCACTCTGTCTAGCCAGCCAGGCCCCTAATATGTCAAAAGATCATAAAATATAGAGAAAAAAGAATGATTACTACACAGGTGTATATGTTTATGTATCTGTTGTATGAAAATTATACCTCAATAAAGTTGATTTGAAAAGTTTAAAAATAGGTGAAATATAATGGGCACATGAAATTACTTAAAATAAGCTAGGAAAATACATCCTCAAATACATTAAAATTTAAAAAATAATACCAAAGTGTATAAAAAGACAAGAGCAGCACTGAATACTTCATGATTACAAGTTCATTTAGGCAGTTCCTTTTTTCTTTTCTGCATCATGACCAATTTCCTGTTCTTAATACTGTACAATAAAAGGAAGGTGGCTGTTTCAGTTCTTTGATGTCTGGGGTTATACAATCTTTCTGAGTCCCTTGCTATATTATTAGTACTGAAAAGAAAAAAAAAAAAAAAAAAGTGTCAGCTTCTCCTTCAAGTTTTCCAATGACAGAGATTAATATAACATATAGTCCTTCCATAGTTCATAGTTGAATATCAGTAGTCATGAGAAAATTCTTCCTTATATCCAGTTGAAATTTGCCTTCTGGTAACTTGTCTCCCTCACTGGTCTTAGGAGTCTTAATTGCCCACTGGAATTACATAGGGTTCCTCTTATCCTCCGTCCAAATAACTTCTCTTCAATACTTGAAGATGACTTTTATTTCTCCTTGAATGCTTTTATTTGAGAAGTTGACTCCTTTCCTAACTTCTCTAAATCACTCTCTCTATTCCATTCTTTGTTTCACC